ACACGTAAATTAGTTTTCTACGAACGCATTCCGTTTATTTCTCAACTAGCTGCTGCCCGCGACTACGTCTGCGTAGAATAGGCGGAATGCGTAACATTCAGACAGAAAGATAAAGATATACATCAAATATGTATATAAATTATAGCCTATGTCTTATTCTGATGTATAAGCTATACTATTGTAAAGTTTCATTAGAATCCATTCAGTAGTATTTGCGTGAAAGAGTAACAAACATCCATGCATACATACAAACTTCCGCCTTTAATATTAGTAAGGGTTTGCCTTTGTGTTGCGACTGGAGTTCATAGAATACACACAGCGACCTCCGCCCGACCTTGAGCGATTGGCATGAAGGTGGGGTCCCCAAATTGTTTCTTCCTCGGGATACCGCCGCGAGGGTCACTCGTGCGAAAATTTCGCGACATCCACATTAAATTCGAGAACCTTTGACCCGCATCTCGATAAGTGGGCTATGGCCGACTTGGCTAGTGCAAAACAGTTTCTCCCTAGATGCCGTCATAATGTCAGAGAACATTATTAGATGACTCCGTGGCGCAGTCGTCAAGGTATTGACTCCCGCATCGGGGGTCGTGGGTTCGATTCCCACACGGGACAACTATTTCTGTGACCCACAGACGGTTGTTTCGCATCTGGGTGTTTGTCCGCGTGAAATTTATGTATGCAAAACGTCCTTACAACACAGGATAATGTTATCCTAAAGTAACGGCAATGTTTTCACTAAAAGAAAAAAAAATATTGTCGACAAAAAACTTTATATTTGCTTTTGAGGAGTTTTCTAAGCGAGCAGGCGGTTCACCCGATGTCAAGTGATAACCGCCGCCCATTGACATTTCCAACACCCGTACGGTTGCAGATGCGTTGCCGCCTTTTAACAAAGTAGGCCCCGGCTACCTCACTCACCGGACGAGACGCAGAAGTCAAATTAGAACACGTGTCTGCTATGGCTCCGGAGCTTTACACTGAAGACTGTAGACTGCATTATACATTAACTAGTTGATAAGACCACTTGGTCTCCCTTGATTATTATACAGGGAGGCTTTTCTAAGTGTATCCATTTTTTTAATTAAATTCTAGACATAAATAATGTTATATAAAAAAATGATAAATATTTAAAATCACTCTTAATTAATTAAATACATTCTTTTTAACTTATCTCATTTATGGGCAACTGATTTTAGTCGCACACAAGTTCTTTTCAAAAGTATACGGCGCATTTATGAATGTCTATACCGCATTGTCAACGAGTTCTGTTTTTTGGGAATGGAATGGCAATATTTTTTGAAAAAAAAAAACATAGTTTTTTTTATTTCAATAAACGATTATATTACCGAGTCTGAACCTCCTGTGTTAATTTGGGCATCTTTAGAAAACCCACCCTGTCTCAACAATCTATTTTATGTGCAAAGCAAAGGTATATATAATAAGAGAAACAAATATATGCAAATGTATGTATGTTCACGTAGTTCATATAAAAATCGTTCTTTTTTAAAACCTCAATAACATTAAATGAAGATATCACTTTCATTTCAATGAAATGAAACTTAGAACGGTTTACTTTTTTTCCAGTAGATTTTTCATTGTACAGAATATAACACAAATGTGATGAAACAACGCTAAAACAATTATCTCGTAACAACATTGTCATAAACGGTTTTATGGTTTGTATGCGAACGTGGCTTTAAATCCCGTTTAATTTCTGCTGATAACTTGTTACAGTTTACAAAGACATTATCTTTACAGCTGGTATTGTGTTAATAGATAACGTAATTATGAACAACGATAACAGTTATATAATGTTTGACTGTATCGCTTAATCTACGCTATTTTTAATGTCTTAATTCTCGCTCCATCCCGGACTGTCGCCTTTGACGACCCAATTGGCGTAGTAGATAGTGACTCTGTCTCTTGCGCCAGAGGGTGTGGGTTCGATCCCCACAACTGGGAAAATATTGTGCGATGAACATAGAATTTTTCTAGTGTCTGGGTATGTATTTATTTACAAAAGAAAAATACGATTAAGTATATGTATTAGTTACCTAGTACCCATAGTACAAGCTTTGCTGACTTTGGGTTTAGATAGCGTTGTGTAAAATAAAATATGTCCCGTAATTTTTATTATATAATGACGACCCGAATGCCGTAGTGGGTAGTGTACCTGCCTCCTGCGTCAGAGGGTGTGGGTTCGATCCCAACTACTGGAAAAATATTGTCTGATGAACATTGTCCAGTGTCTGGGTGTTTATATATGTATAATATGTATTTATTTACAAAAGGAAAGTATGTTTAAGTATGTTTATCAGTTATCTAGTACCCATAGTACAAGTATTGCTTAGTTTGGGACTAGAGAACGTGGTGTAAAAATGAGTCGTAAAATAATTATTTATCATTATTATTATAATAGACTAGCTGATACCCGCGACATTGTCTGATTTGCTTATTATATTAATAAGTACACCGCTTGCCACGGCAAGAAAATAATATTCCGTATAGAAAATCGTTTATAATAATTCTAATAACTTTACATTTATGAAAAGAGAATGGAGTTAACTTAAAAAATGTCAATGGAAATATATCCATTAGTATTTCCGGCAGAACTCTAATATTTTAACTGTATAGATAGGATGGAAGATATCTGTATCTTAAAGTTATGGTTACATACTTTTGCGTTTCGTCTGGTGAGTGAGGTAATCGGGTTCCACTTTATGGAAAGATGGCAGCACATCTGCAACCCTTAGAATGTCGCAAATTTCCTCGCTTACCTTCTTCTCACATAATAAAAAACATAGTACATACATACTCGAAAAAGTTTACTCTCTTTCGGCAGTTGGGTAACAAATAAACTCATTCTATACAATTCCTAGTCCCGTCCGAAATGGTTCAGTGACATCACTGAGTTAAACTCATAAACAATATTACGCTAAATCTATAATTATTCTAACGAAAAACTTTAATATTAGCAAACTATTACTTTATTAACCATCCGCTGTTTCAGTTCTCGGAACAGCTGTATAGGGCTATTGTTGACAAAATAATGTTCTTTTGTTTTGATAACACAATAGTCATTATTATAAAATATATATTTTAGAGTTGAAAAACATATTTGTGATCAGTCGTGAAGCTTCGAAACGATAACAAATAAAGTGAGAAACAGTTATTTGCTACATAATGTATTCAGCGTGGTGTTACAACCGCGATATTAAATTAACACAATTCTTACGTTACTTGTCGATTATCATAAAAAATAGAAACGTTAAAAGAATCTATACATAATTAAAAAAAATATATTTTCAAACAAACTAAATAAAGAAGAAACAAAATTTGAACCATCCTAGACAACTGGCTGATTCGTTCATAATAGTTACATTATCGACTCAAAACGACAACGTCGCAGTCGCATAGCTAGTACCTAAAAACCTCAGCACCGTGCGAGTGTTCTAACCTAACCTAACCTAACCGTTTTTTATGTGAGAACGTGGCAAACGAATAAGCGAGCTGGTGCTTAGCCTGATAACCGCCGCCCATGGACATTTGCAACACGTAGAGTAGCAGATTAATTCCAACCTTATAATAAACCACGCCACGGCTACCTCACTCACCTCTTTTTACGGTGGTAGGGCCACGCAGCAGCCTCGGCTGTTGCACGAATGGGCAGGCTCGTCCCGGTAAGTACCACAACCTCACAGAAGACCGGCGTAAAGTGGAAGTATAATACGTGTATAGTGAGTTTGGTGGCCGGAGCCCAATTTTCAAAAGGTTGTCAATGCATCTGCAACCCTCGGGTGTGGCAGATGTCCATGGGCGGCGGTATTCACTTAACATCGGGTGAACCGTCTGCTCGCTTGGCAGTTTTTCACATTAAAAAAAACTACATGAAACGCAAAAGTGTAATACTTCTACTTCGCGCCGGTCTTCTGTGGGGTCGTGGTAATTATCCGATGGACGTGCTTATTCATGCAACAGCGAAGACTGTCGCGTGGCTTTACCGCCGTTGAATGTAGCAAATAAATTGATATCGTTAAATTATTAGTTCAATATTTTATTAATATAAATACAGTTACTAAATACGGGGATATAAACTAGTGCTGGTAATATTTTTAATCATCGCTTTGTTTACGCCTTGTTTGAAACACCGTTCCGTTTAAATTTAAACGCAGAGCAAATACGCCTAATTTATGACAGCGAAGCGATCGTCCGCCATGACAGTTTGTTGTTACGACCGTGCGACTATTGTCCCTTCATAAATATGACCTTGCCAACAATTATCGGAGTCCTTCCCACAAAGTCCAGTGGTCGATGCATGCTTACGGTCTTTTAAAACACCACATGGTAACTTAGCAAATAATGTGATGCAACAAAGGTCTCAAATTGAAATGCAATCAAAGTCAAAGGGTTCCTTTCAATGATATTGAATGTGTCTGGGTGTTTGTGTATGCATAATATGTATTTATTTACAAAAGAAAATTATGTTTAAGTATGTTTGTCAGTTATCTAGTACCCATAGTACAAGCGCTGCTTAGTTTGGGACTAGGGAATGTTGTGTAAAATGTATTTATGTCCTAAAATATTTATTTTATACTAGCGAATGTATTATACATATAAACCTCTTCCTCTTGAATCACTCTGTCTAGTAAAAAAAACTGTATCAAGATCCGTTCCCCGTCGTATCTTCGAAATGGAAGGGCTAATACTTATATAATTGGTTCCATATGGGAGCTGAACAGAACCCAATGCAAGAAGAATATTTAAAATCGGTTCATAAATGACGAAGTTATGTGGTATTCACAAATTCTCTAGAAATAATCTTTATGGCGAAACAATGTTTGCCTCGTCAGCTAGTGCTCAATAAAAATTAACTTCTACGTTATACATTGAAATTAAGCAAAAAGACCCAGAGCATCCCTCAGATACAGGACACACCGTCCCCAATTCACGCTCTTTGAGGAAGAGACCACTTGCTGTAACAGCCCTTCCGTCGCCAGCGCTGGGGCCGCTGCTGCCGCAGATGAACGTGTTCGGCAGGCAGCTGGGCATCTCCCCGGAGGCCATGGGCCTGGTGACGGCGGTGCTGCCACTGCTGTGGGCCGCCGCGAAGCCCCTCTTCGGATACGTGGTCGACTATTGGCCCGTAAGTGTGCCGTGCGCGTCTTCTCTGATATATCGTCACAGCGTTCGACCCCATTGTTTTGTTCACCGTATCCCGACATCAGCTTGATCACTTTGGCTGGACAAAGTTAGAAGCTTACGCTTAGTTCCATGTCTCCAGTTGTGATATAAAATTGTGTTTAGTTTTAAGAGTTCTTTCTCTCAAGATTGTTGTCGTCGAAGACAGTGTTTATTTATATTGTTGTTTAATTTTATTCTGATTGAACATTAGCTTGATCACTTTGTGATCTGATCGCCAATATAGTAAATTATGTTTAGATTTAAGAGTTCTTTTTTCGATTTCCTTATTGCCGAAGACCGATTTTACTTCTATGGTTATTTCATTTTATTCTAACGAAACATCAGCTTAATCCCTTTAGTTGGAGACTAGTTTTACCTTCAATTCCATGTCTCCATTTGTAATCTGATCGCCATCTTATGAAATTATGTTTAGATATAAGAGTTCATTTCTCTCGTGATAGCTATTGTCGAAGACCGCGTTTACGTCTATAGTATATGGTATTTAATTTAATGCTAATGTAACATCAGCATGATGACTTTGGTTGGAGATTAGTTTTACGTTCACTTCCATTTCTCCAGTTGTGATCTGTTCCGCCAATATGGCAAATTGTGTTTAGATTTAGGAGTTCGCTTTTGTTATCGTTATTGCCGACGATCGTGTTCAAAGAACTTACAAGTTCAGAAGAAGTTCAGAACTTCTACGCTTATTTCATTTTATTCTGGCCTAACGGACTCGAATTGACGAGTCGGTTATTGCAATTGGAAAGCTTACTTATTCTTAGTTTTTGTTAATCTGAACATAAGTCAAACGAGCCGGTTAAGTGATAACCGTCGCTCGTGGACATTTGCTACACCTGCAGGGTTCCTGCAGTGTTGGCAGGTCTTAATAAAATTGGTCCTGGTTATCTCACTAAAAAATAAATAACGCACGAGTATAACTCTTCTAGTTCACCCCGACTTTCTGCGAGGCTGTTGCACTTAGCTGTATCACTGTGGTGGGGCCACTTCCTACTTGAATGAATAGATACCTTAGTACGTCAAACTCTTGTGCTGTAAACTAAGTACTAACTCCTAATTTCATGTTTCCGCTATCAATTCTCACCACTCATTCGTCGATGTTGCAGAGCCAGAGGAAACTGGTCTTTATGCTTCTCATCGCGGTAATGACGGGCTCGTACTGCGGCCTGTGGTTCCTGCCGGCGCCCGAAGAGCCGGAACCGCCTGCGCCGCTCGTCCGCTCCGTGTACCGGCTTAACGATACGGTGCTGGTCGGCCCGCGGGGGGAAGACCCGGGCCTCCAGAACCTGAGCTGCCGTTGGACTTGCGACCGCGGTGACGTCATCGGGATGCTCCTCCCCAACGCCACGCGCGTGGACCGCGTGTTCGTGGAGGGGCCCGTCACGAACGCCACTTGCTCGCTCCTGGGCATGGGCGCCGCGGGGGTGCGAGAGGGACGGGCTGCGTGCGCGCCGCGCGACGGCTGCGACCTGCTCTGCTACGAGGACGCCGCCCTAGAGGAGGCGGTGGCGGGGGGGAACGGTTCCGTGCTGGAGAAGACCACGGGCAACAGGGAGGGTGTTAGTGAAGAGGGGCCCGCGGTCTACTTGACGGCGGTCTTCTGGGCGTTCGTGGTGCTGATGTGCGTCGGCACGGTGGCGTTCAACGTGGCCAATTGCATAGGGGACGCCGTTTGCTTCGACGTGCTCGGTGAGGTTGTTTTCTTATGTGAATTTGTCAAGCGAGCGGGCGGTTCACCTGATGTTAAGTCAATACCGCCCATGGACATGGGCCAATGGGCCGACACAATGGGCCTCCTTCACTCACCAGACGAAACGCGTACATGGTAGGTAAAATTTATACGGGTCCAAGGCAGTTCCTCGGCTTTTTGAGCATGGAGATATCGACTTAAGAACCAATACAGCTGTCAGCTGGCCTATTGTTGTAATCAGTACGTACTCTAAGTGATAATTCATCGAAGGGATATTGAACAGGGGAATCAGTTTATACAGATCATCTTCTGTACGGATGGTGGGAGATTTGATAACGTAAAGATTTTAATTCGAAAAGAAGTGAGAAAGATTGTGAAGTGTTTAATCAAACCATGGTGGGGTTCCTTATAACCTTCTTATTCCTTCCTTATTCCTTCCTTATCTATAGAGAGGTAGAGGAAAGGGCTATGAACAGGGAAGGATGCGAGGGTGTTACACACAAGAATAAGAAGATCCACCAGAAGTAAAGTATAAATATTTTACGCCGTCTCTTTTGTGATTGGATGGCATTTCTTCGCTGGAATCTTTTGCCCAGATGGGACATCGTGTCTCCCGACAGGGGACATTGTGCGGGCGGTGTCTTTGCAGCCGTCCCCTGCTGATTGCAGGCCCCGACGGCGGCTCGAAGTACGGGGCGCAAAGGGCCTGGGGCACCGCAGGGTACGGCATAACCGCCCTGCTCGGCGGCTGGCTGGTGGACGCCGTGTCCGGCACCCACAAGAACTTCACGCCCGCCTTCATTGTGGCCCTAGTGGCCACGGCCGTCGACCTGTACAGCTGCACGGCCCTCACGGTTAGCGGCCCTGAGATATCTCGTCTAAATCGTGTATCGTTCACCCAAGAACTTTGTGGGGGGCAAGCAGTTTCTGAACTATACCTACTAACTATACCCGACTGTGCCTGAAGGATTGTTATGTTTTTCGAGTATGGTGCAAGTGTCGTTATATTCGTATTTACCGTGTGACCTCGGGCATATCAAAATAAATAATTACAAAGAAACGCATTCGGGTTTCTTTAGTTTTTTGAATCATATTCCACTTGTTCATGTGAGAAGGTGGCAAAAGAGCTGGCGGCTCGCCTGATGTTAGGTGACAACTGCCGCCCGTCGACATTTGCAACACCCGTACGGTGGCAAATGCGTTGCCACCTTTCAACAAATTACGCCCCCGTTTACCCACTCACCAGACGAAACGCAGAAGTGCAACACTTTCCACTTCACGCCGGTCTGCTATGAGGTCGCGGTGCTCACCCGGACGGAGCTGCCCGTTCGTGCAACAGAGAAGACTGTTCAGCTCTACCACAGTAGACCTCCAAGCGTCGTCTGCGGACCATCCAGTTACAGGGCATTCGTCCCCGTCTTTTGTTGTCATTCGTTCATCGTCACCCACCCTGGGTTTTTTTTTTATGTGAAAAGTTGACAAGCAAGCTGGCGGTTCACCCGATGTCAAGTGAATACCGCCGCCGATGGTTATCTGCTACATCCGAGCGTTACAGAGGCATTGGCAACCTTTTGAAAATCGCGCTCCGGCCACCTCACTCACCGGATGAAACGCGAAAGTATTATACTTCCACTTTACGCCGGTCTTCTGTGAAGCCGTGGTACTTACCCGGACGAGCCTGCCCATTCGTGCAACAGCCGAAGCTTCTGCGTGGCCCTACCACCACCAAGTTACGTGGCCAATTGGGTCTTCGTTTCGTTCACCCACCGTGGGCCTCCGACAGCTGCCGTCACTGAGCAGCCCCGAGGACTCTGGGAAGGCGCTCCGCGAGGTGCTCCGCATCCCGAGGGTCGTGGTGTTCATCGTGTTCGCCGTGGTGGCCGGCACCTTCGACAGCTTCATCATCTACTACATGTTCTGGTGAGACGGTATCTCGGCTCCCTTGGTGATGGGGCAATTGAGCTGGTGGTTTGCCCAGTGTTAAGTGATAAACCTCGCCCATGGTGGGAATGAGGTCTCATAGGGTTGCGAATGCTTTGCCACCTTTTGATAGTCTGCTCCGGTTACCTATATCGCCAAAAGCGCTGAAGTATAAAGCGTCCGGGCGGTAAACTGGAAGACGCAATATAAACGGAGAGAGACTAAGAGCGACAGATATAGTACGGGAGCCAGAGAGAGAGGGAACGATGAACTATATGAGAATTAGGATATGTGAGAGAAAGAGCAAGAGAAATAAGAACACTGAACGCAGAGTAAGAAAGAGAGAGAACGATTAGGAAAACAATTGCGCTATAAGAAGAGAGAGGGAGAAAAAAGAGTTGAACGTAAAGCGATAACCATAGCGAGAAGGAAAAATAGCATATAAACAGAAAAAGAAAGAGAGCGATACAGGAACAAGAGATGTCCTTCGTGGCATTGCTAGCATCCAAATAGAGTTAGAACTCTGCTTATTATTGAAAGTCAGTATTGCTTGATGGCGTCTGTTCCATTTTCAGGTTCCTGGAAGAATTGGCCGAGGAGACCGGCTGTATGGGCAAGATCAAGCTGATAGAGGGAGTGGTGGTGGCGGCGCAGAGCTTCATAGGCGAGCTGCTCTTCTTCTTCTTCTCCGGTGGGACTCTAACATCTCTCTTTAACCCTTCCAGCATTAATTGAGCTACATCGCTTTGATTTATAAAGACAATAAATAAATACTTTAGGGTCATATTATTACACCGCGTTATCTAGTACCAAAATAAGCAAGGCTAGTACTATGGGTACTAGATAACTGATAACATACTAAAATATATTTTTCTTTTGTAAACAAATACATATTATAGATATATAAACGCCCAGAAACTAGAAAAACACTATGTTCGTCGGACAATATTTTTCCAGTAGTGCGGATCGAACCCTCTTACTTCCGGATGACATCATCCTTGTTGTAAGTACGTCTTACAAATATAAATTTCACGCGGACAAACACCTAGATGTGAAACAACTATCTGTTGGTGACACAAGTAGCCGATGATCTCCAGTAACCAAATCTGTACATAGAATATTGAAACGAGCCCTAAGTGGTTTATTACCTACTAGCGGCCCCGGCTTCGCGTGGGTGCACTGTATTATACATATTAACCTTCCTATTACTATCACTACATAGCATAAAACAAAATAAAAAAACGTACGTAGAAATAAAATAAAAAAAAGTCGTCCTGTTGTCTGTCTTTAACTTTGTATGCTTAGATCTTTAAAACTACCCAACGGATCTTGATGCCGTTTTTTTTTACTAGATAGAGTGACTCAATGGGAAGGTTTATATGTATAATACATTGCACCAGAAGCCGGGGCGGGTCGCTAGTCTAGCAATAAAAACCGCATCAATATCCGTCGCGTAGTTTCAAAGATCTGAGCATACATATGGACAGACAGACAGCGGGTCGACTTTGCTTTATACTATATAGTGATTATTGTTGATTATTTCTGTGCGTCTCCAGGTAAGATATTGGAGCGCTGGGGCTACCGGACCACTCTCACGTTCTCCCTCTTCTGCTACGGAGTGAGATTGGCGCTCATCTCCCTGATACAGCATCCCTGGCACTTGGTCTACATCGAGGTGAGGAGTTTTTTTTTTAAATAATTATTAACAAAAAAAAAACCGACCTCAATCAGAAAATTAAAAACATTGTTAATACCTATAGGATTCAATGATGGCCCTCGATTTCTCCGGGACGCCATCATCAGATACGGGTTTCCTTATCATGGTACCACCCTTGGGATATCTCTTTTCCGATAAAAAAAGAATCATCAAAATCTGCGCATAAACGACGAAGTTATCCGCGAACAAGGTTTTTATGCTTGTTCGCGGATTAATTTGTCGAATTGAGAAACCTCCTCCTTCTTTGAAGTCGGTTAATAAGTTATCCACTACGGACACTTGGTCAGTAAGTAAAGTAAACTAACAGCCTATACATGTCCCACTGCTGGGCAAAGGCCTCCTCTATACAGAGGGTATCAGGGCATGGTCCACCACGCGGCGAAACTGCGGATTGGCGGACTTCACATATCTTCGAAATATATATATTTTTTTTGTTATTATTTCGAAAATATGCAGGTTTCCTCACGATGTTTTCCTTCACCGCGGAGCGCGTGATAAGTCAGCAATTAAAGTTAAAAACTTCATTGGTGCCGGCACCGGGGATCGAACTCAGGTCGCTCGAGTATATTGAATTAAAGGCGAGCTCCCGGACACTGGGCTATCACGGCTTGGTCCGTACCCATTTTAAAAGTTGCGTCTATTCTATAAAATTCTCGTGTCACGGTGTTCGTAATTGAAGTCCTCCGCAACGGCTCGACCGGTTTTCGTGAAATTTTGCCTCCATATCGGCCAGAGTGGAGAATCGGATAACATCTATTTTTCATCCCCCTAATTGTTAAGGGTGGTCCACCCCAAACATTTTTTTTACGCTAGAAATAATTTATATGGCAAAACAACGTTTGCCGGGTGAGCTAGTATATTATGTTGAACTATGCTAAGGTGAGTAGTGTGGGGTCGTTGGAACTGTAATGCTCTTTTTTACCCCCATGTAAAAGGGGAGTGTTAAAAGCTTGTCGTGTCTGTCTGTGTGTCTCTCTGTAAGGGAATGTACCGATCATGATGCGTTTGAAAGCTGACGTGATTGATATGGTCTTTAGATATAGTTCGTATTAAAAAGGTCCGTTTATTGAAGGTCTGTTAATACTTTTTATTGAAGGTCGATTGTCGAATGACGTCAAAGTTTAATTCAGTATATTCTTGCGTCCGAGTTCGATCCTCGATGGCGGCACAAAGGAAATTTGCCGGTAATATGTCAACACTTAAAAATGCTAATTTTAAGTGTTGAAATATTACCGGCTCGGTGGTGAAGGAACAAAATAAAGAAAATCGGCCAAGTGCGAGTCGGGCTAGCGCACGATGGATTCTGTACCATTATTAGTTAATAATTTCTTGTATTTACGCGATTACACATTATAAATGAAACTAATTTTACGGATTTATCGCGTTTATTTTTAATCTTAATTCCCGACGTTTCGAACCCTTTACAGCGTTCATGGTCACGGGACATGGTCTCTCCATGTCATGGTCTGTCGGGAATTAAATAAACGCGATAAATCCTTAAAATTAGTTCCATTTTTAGTTACTAAGAGAACGACAAAAAAAAAATATATTTCCGTTGCATGGGAGTCCCGCTTAACCATCGGGTACAGAACCCTAAAAAGAAATATTTCGAAGCTGTGTGAGGTCCGCCAAACCGCGGTGGGGCCGAGTGCCTTATACTCTTCGTACAGAGGAGGCCTTTGCCCAGCAGTGGGACATGTGGGATGTTGCTTAACTTTGGGGCAATACAATCGTTGGCAGGCCGTGATGCAGGGCCCCACTTACGCGCTCTGCTACTCGACCATCGTGGGCTACGCGGCCCACGTGGCCCCCGAGGGCTACTCCGCCACCGTCCAGGGCATCGTCGCCGGCATGGACGACGGAGTGGGTGAGTGGTGATTGGTGATGGTATCATGGTAGTGATGGTACCGTGGTGGTGATGGTACCAGGGTGGTGATTTTATCATAGTGGTGATAATACCGTGGTGGTGATGATATTACTTTTTTTATATCAGAAGGTGGCAAGCGAGCTGGCGTTTCGCCTGATGTTAAGTGATAACCGCCTACCATTGTCATTTGCTACACCCGTTGGATGGTCGTTTAAATGGTGGTGGTATTATTATGACTATCAATAGGTGAGTGTAATGCTCCTATGTTGAAATGAAGGTAACCGGCCAAGTGCGAGTCGGATTCAAGCATGAAGGGTTCCGAAATTTAACATTCAACTATGAAAACAGCGTAAAAATCATTTCACGCAAATACCACTGAATGAAACTTTGCAATAACACAGCTTATACATCAGAACGACACATAGGCCATAACTTATATACATATATTTATGTGTATCCGTCTTTCTGTGTTAATGTTGGGCCCTCAGCCCACTCTACGCAGACGTAGTCGCGGGCGGCGGCTGGTGTGCAATTTGTAATGGCGCCGCTTCCGTTTGAGGCTTCGCCCTGGGCTCGCTGCTGGGCGGGCAGCTGTACGCCAGGGCAGGGGGGCGCGGCTCGTTCCGCTGGCTGGCGGCGGCGGCCGTGGCGGCGGCGGCCGCGCACGCCGCTCTGGCCGCGGCCGGCGGCGGAGAGAGTGAGTGGGGGAGAGAGAGGGAGATAGAGGGGGAGGGAGAGAGAGAGAGAGGGAAAGGGAGGGGGATAGAGGAGGAGGGAGAGGAATGGGACAGAGTGGTGAGAGAGGGGGATAGAGGAGAAGGGGAGAGAGAGAGAGAAAGGTGGGAGCGCAGGCAGTGAGACACCTAGCGAGGGCATGGGGGTGCGTATGCAGCGCGGGTGTGGCCCGCGAGGGGCGCCGTGCCAATTGCATAGGCGCAGCGCCGTTCCTACGGAGCGGGAGTGGTACCTCGGTCCGATAAGAGGAGGTCCAAGAGGGCCAAGTTCGTGCCGGCATTACCTTGGTGTTCCCGTGCCGCCGGCCGATGCGTTAGTGCAGATGCAACGCGGGTCTTTTAGTGGGTACCTGTTCTGTCCCGCATGTCCCCGCTACTCCACCGATTATGTGAAAAAAAAGGGGGGGGGGGGGGGGGAGTATAGTATTGGAAGGAAAGGGCTAGAGAATGACAGAGCGAGAAAGAGAGATGGATAAATGGAGAAAGGGTGGTTAGCTCTTTCCTTTTATTTTATGTGAGAAGGTGGCAAGCGAGCTGGCGTTAAGTGATGACCGCGGCCCGTGGACATTTGCAATAACAGCACGGTTGCAGGTACGTTGCCGCCCTTTAGCAGTGTGGTCTCCGGTTGCGCAGAAGTATTACACCTCCACGCTGGCCTTCTGTGAGATCGTGGTACCCGGACGGACTTGCCCGTTCGTGCAACAGCGTTGCGTTGCCCTACCACTGTTTTAGTATTTATAATATTGTGAAGGAAACTAATCTTCGCACTCAAGATTTAACATAAAAATTTGTAGAGAAAAGTACGAAGTTTTTAGCATTTTGGAGAATAACTCGCGGCCCCTTGTCATTCAATATTGAATTGGTTACAACAAATTGAAATTTTTGTAGTACCAATCTTCGCACTCAAGATTTAACATAAAAATTTGTAGAGGTAAAGTACGAAAAGTATTTAGCATTTTGGAGAAAAACTTTTCGTCGAACCGGACTGGGATTCGCGCCCGGACGCTTTTAACCACCAAGTTAATCGGCCGATCGCCGCGAATTACGAAAATCTCAACGTCTTTTCTACATTATTTTTACTATTTGATGCAATGCATCCATTGTACATTATCCTTTACAGCGTACAAGCAATTACAATTCCAGACGTGGGTTCGATTTGGTTACATCAGCCCTAATTTCCGATTTCCACTCCGCAGAGGTCAAAGCTGATGCTGAGCCGGTGGAGGAGGGGTTGAAGATGCTTCCCCTGGGGCCAGGCAACGACCCTACTCAGGTCTACAGGGACACTGTGGTGCCCCTAACCGAGGTCAAGGAAGCAGGGGACAGGTAACGACCCTAAGGTACCCGTCATCGTTCAAAGCGAAATCGACCTTAATACGAAGTAGATAAGGACCCAATATATACCGCTTCCAATGGTCCAATTGCAATGTATCTTCATAGCGAAGTTAAACGGCCCTGGAGTATCAGGCTAAAGTAAAAGTCTGTTTTAACATTGAAATTTAAGACTTAGAATTTGGTGCGATTTTTAGATTATTCATAACTAACTGTAAATAAAGAAAATAAAATACACGGCAAAGTTATTCTTAAGACATAGGAGATAAGCACCAGTATTGGACGTTATTGTTAGGGCAGGTCGAACGTCATGTCAAATTCGACTAATGTAATAGTTGTGCTTACTTTTTTATGGCTCTTTATCGCTGGACGTTAAGGTTTATTTTACAATGGTATTCGAGCTAGAAGAGATCCGACTTAATCTTTTTACGTGATATTTGACAAGTCCCTATTAAGATATACCTTTGTATATATTTTTTCGATTTTTTACAACATGCGGAAAGTATTTCTTTTGTATAGATGAAAGTTGTTTATATATTATTTTTAGTGTCACAGACGATAATAACGTTATGGACGCAATACCTTTGTGACAATGATACAAGTAATTACGAACGAACAAATATCTGGATTGGTCTTGTGATCTCAATTATACAAGTAAAGTATTATAAAAATATGAATGGACGATATTAAAATCGAAATGTTACCACATTTTTGTTCCATTTGATTTTATTAGGAACTGTGCCAAATAAAGATTTATGTGGATACCTCTATGAAGTCATTTTTATACTGTATTACTTATTGCTACAATAATGTTTTCGAACGATATATATTTTCTGTCGTTCAATTTATTTTTAGTTAGATAATGATGTCAATATTTTATTAATTATCGCGACTTTTTCTACTCACATTGTGATGATTTTTTAGTTAATTGATAAAAGTACAAAACGCCACTCTTAATATTTAAAAGAAGTATTGGCTCGTTGGTAAAAGCTTTAACAATTTGATAACATATTTTACTTAAATATTTGTTGTTATAACGAGCGTACCAAAATGACGGTTGCGTTTTAGCGCCATCTCTTACGAATTTTTTTCGCAAGCTTTATTATTGTCTATTGTACTAAGTTAACGTAGTTCAATACAGTTGCCGCAAGATGTCGTTGTATGTCATTCTGTTAAGAGTTTAATTTTTGTATTTTCTATATCGATGTTGTTTTTAATATGATTATTTTTATAAAGGACATATACGTATTTCTATCAATATTAATTATTGTTAAGAAGCTACACTAAATATTGTTAAATGGGCACTTATTATTTTTTTGTAGTATCAAATTTACCAATTGGTCTGTGCATGAATTGTGACGGTTGTGAAACTGAAAAACATTTTCATTTATTCTATATGAACAAATATAATAAATAGATATAGAATAAAAGACAAAACATTTTCATTTATTCTATATTTAATTTATTTCATTTATTCTATATTTAAACATGAATAGACGCTTTTGTTTAATGATTGTCAGAAGTTCCAATTGGTGTCTTTGGTTGGTTACATTTGCAATGTTGCAATAATGCAAAACTCTGTGCCATTTTAGTTATGGACAATAAATATATACTTATTAGTTAAGGTGCGACTGATATTATAAATTATATTCGTCATATCATCGTTTTAGTATTTCACACGAATGTTTTCAAATCTATATGCAATAAATATGTTATTTCGTAATGATGTCTTTTTTACCCGTAACATCCGTGAAATTAAAAATAACTTTTCTACTTTTATGAATAATGTAAAATGTTATTTAAATTTTTACATTGCTAATCTCTGCAGACTCTGCACTTAAGATGAAGATTACCATTTGTTTATACAAATTTTGATATTTCATCTTGTCAAACTTTTTATATAGCAATGGCGACATCTCAATGATTAATTGTTATAAAACGATATTCGAAATTTTACGCTATGGATAGAAGGATATATATTAATAATTAAATATATAATAATATGTTAAGCAAAAACTTTGTACCCCATTTTACGATAATTGCGCGGACGGAGGAGTGTGAAATTTCCCAAAGTTAACTTCTTCTTCATCTTCTATGTATAAGAGATTTCCACCGATAATTGCCTCATCACGATATCTCTGGAACCATAAGGCGTAGACTTGAAATTTGGTAGGAATATTCCTTTCGCCGAGTAGAGTTCAGCTAAGAAATTCTACGAAATTCCACAAAACAACGTTTGCCGGATCAGCTAGTAGTTTATTATTAAGGCTGTGGGTTGGTCGGCCAAAATAAAATAGTGAGGATAGCGTAACAACTTTATATATTAATTAGACTACTTCTTACTTATTAGGACAGAGTAACGTCCTATACAAAGGATATAGTGTTCTACCCTATAACTGAAACATTATGCGCTTATATACAAAAATATAATGAGTCATCACAACTACATTACAAATCAATGCACTTATAAAATTACTAATACAGTTAATAAGATTGACCTATTAAATTATAAATTATTATTAAGCATGGTTTATTATATAATGTTATACCAGATATGGTTCAATGTTTATTAAGTATAATTGTTATTGCTCGTATATTAAGCAGTGTTGCCAGTGGATTGTAACACTATATAAGGATGGAGGGCAGAATGCTATTTTTTTGTAAATTAAGCATAAAAAATACTGTAAATAAATAAAAAAAACATTACACACACTACCATGTGTAGGTTAATTATGGTCGAATTTCGACCACTGGGCGACCACTAGCAACAATAGATGCAAACATTGCTTCAAATGCGAAAAAACAATGTACATAAAAGACGTTGCGATTTTCTTTCGTTTAGCTTAGTGGCTAAAGCGTCCACGGCCTTGAAAAACACCGACGTGTGATGGAAGTGCTGTGCATTTGTGGTAGCGTTTTCACAAGTATTTGATTTGTTTGATTTGATTTGCTTTCGTCTAATGAGTGACTTTTAGGCAGCGCATTAGCAAGCTGTCAGGTGTAGGTGGATCCATGGGCGGCGGTAATCACTGAACATCAGATAAAAAATCTGCAATTAGTGTTTAATTTTCTCTCCGGAGTGTGGAACCAAAGCATCTCAGTGCTATCAAAGTCCCAGCTCGTTGATTTTCTCCACGACGCATGCCGACCCAAGGTCGGCGAGCTGTCTGTTAAGAGGAGGCCAACAAAATAAAAAAACTGTAATTGGAAAATTAACCAAGAATTAAATAAGTAATCGTATTGTAGTGGACTGTATTAATTTTGAATGTTCTTCCAATAAAAGAGTTCTTCCTTGTAGACGTTTATTATTCTTCATTACAATTGAGCCGTATCGTACAAATTTTTATTTACATATATACATACACTGACATTGGTATGACAATTAACTAGTGTTTAAAAGCTAATCTTCGGGCGTCGACCAATCACGGCCTGGATCCGCCGTCGCCGTGGCGCCACCCAGGGCGGTTCGACAAGCGGTGATTTCGCTGCGACTGGTTGCTCCGCCGTTGACTAGTAGGACGCGCGACGAACTATTGCTTGACGCGATGTGGTTGTTCAACCGGTGTGTTAGGCGACACTTTGTTATTTTCTTCTGTAAATTACTTAGGCGATCCACACACACACACGGGTCTTCTACTCGGCCTTGAAAGGCCGGCAGGTGCGGGTGTCGAGATATTTCTCATGACCCGGGCTTCTTCTCTGGGGCCTCTCTGTGCCCCCGGTATTTTGGGCCAAAATGGCCAGATGGTATATGTGTTGTTATGTCGCCATAAAAATGGCGCAACACTGTTTAGAGGTAATTGCTACTTTGCTATGCGCCGTGATGCTCGGTGAGTAGCATGGATAGCGTGTGTAAGGTTGCACTTATCGGTGATTGCCCCGATGCCATTGCGGCTATGATGGTTGTAAGTGCATCCGCCAGTATGCGGATCAATTGTTGGAGAGATTCTGTGAATTCTTCCACAGTTCTAGGGGCTTCATTGTTTTGGCGGCTTTCTTGAAGGCGAAGAGGGCGACGACTAGGCGCTGTCTCCGACCTTTGTTCGACGTTTGTTTGACGGCTTCTTTGTTGGGGGGGGGGGGGGGGGGGGGGGGGCGGTGAGGTAACGTCGTCTCCGTCCCCGTATTGGTGGCTTGGTGATCGTCTTGATCGTCCTGTGATGAGGCCGCGGGTGCATCACGTCCGCGGCGTCTTCTACGATGGCTTCTAATTCTACTAGTAGCAGGGTTGGCTGGTGGCTGGAGCGTAGTGACTATTGTAGTCGGTCTTGATAGGGTGGCTGCAGTGGAGGCGGCGCCGGCGACGACTGTAGAATGCGTGCGCACGCCCTCAGCGGGCTGTCTATATATGTCCCCCGCAGTGGTTCGCACCGCGGTAGGGGTTTGTAGTGCGGTTGCTACTGTGCTCTCGCCTTCATTAGGCTGAGGGGGGAAGTCTGAGGTGGGGGGGGCTGTCCCCCCGCTTCGGCTCTCTCTGTTTCTTCCGACGGTCGTCCATCCCGTTCTCTCATTACTTGTAGTCGGCCGCGGCGGATGGATTGCTATCCCGCGTTTTCTTGCCTCTCTTAAAAACGCGGGACAACGCCTATCGTTGGCCGGATGCCTTTGCCCGCAGTTAGCACAACGTGCGGGGGTGGATAGCGGCACTGGACAATTGGCTGCAATGTGGTTGTCTGCGCAGCGAACACAGACAACCGGTCGGTGGCAATTTGCTGATGAGTGCCCAAATTTTTGGCACCTATGGCACTGAGGTGGGCCTGTTCTTCCCTTCCACCCCTCAATTTGGACGCCCGGCATGTTGAGGAGCTCGTTGATATCATACAGTCGAGCTGCCTCTCTATCACTGAGGTGCTCGAGCTGCACGAAAAATATGCATCGGGTTCGGTTTCTTAATGGAGGTATCAATTTAGTGTAGGTCGCCGGAAACCCTAGGTAGCGTAACGCATTAGTTATGCTCTCCGGGTGAGTAGTCTCAGGCAATCCACGAATGCCCAC